AACTAAATATATTTTAGATAAGTTTACAATTATTTAATAATAAACACAATGAAATATATTTTTTTTCGTTAAGTTCAGAATGATTTTTGCGAAATTATTACACAATTTTTCGCTTGCCTTATTCAGCAAGAGGAGCGTTGCTATTTAAACCAAAATCACAAGTTTTACCCATTCGGACACACACACACACACACAACACACACACACACACACATCACACACACACACCCATATACAGGATTTCACACCTTCCTGTGAATGACCCCTAACCCTTTCTCTCTCTCTCTCTCTCTCCTCTCTCTGTCTCTCTCTCTCTCTCTCTCTCTCCCTTTCTCTCATCTCTCATCCTCTCTTCCTCTCACTCTTTCTCTCTCCCTCCCTCTCCTCTCTCTCCCTCTCTCTTTTCCTCTTCTCTCTCTCCCTCTCTTTCCTTGTCACTCCCCCTCTCTCTCTCTCACTTTCTCCCCCTTTTCCCCTCCTTCTACCCTCCCCTTCTCTCTTTCTCCCTCTCTCTCACTCTCTCCCCTTTTTCTTTTTCACTTTCTCTTTTACTAAAAAAAAAAAAAAATGGTTGGGACTCACAGGGATCAGATATCAATGGTACTGGTAGGGAGGAATGGATGGAGGAGCAGTGGAAAAGGATAGAGCAAGAATGGGAGAGAAAATTAGGAGAGCTTTCTGAAAAAATGGAGAAAGAGCTCTCTGTGAAATGGGAAAAGAGGTTGGAGAAGGAGACGAAGAATTGGGAGGCAAAAGTCGAAACTGCAGTAGCCAGGGTAAAGGTCCTAAAATTTGAGGTAACAGGCTGAAGCAAGTCTCAGGGGTAGTGACCAGAGAAGACACACCATACGAAGCTGAGAGGCTGAACAGGAAGGAAAGAGATATGAAATATGCTAAGGTCCTATCAGCCTGCAAAGAAGGGCCAGGGAGTGGAAGGGAAAGAGCAGATGGGTGCAGATGGAGAGGGAGATAGGTCGAATGCTGGGCACAAACCATGCTACCAAGAGCCACTGGAAAAATCAAGGGAGAAAATGACCACATACGGGACAGGAACCAGAGTCACAGAGGGAGGGGCAAGGGGAGGAGGAAAGGGCCAAAATCAGTGTTTTTTCCATGGGCTTCGGGGAGAGAGAGGAAGGACACACACTGAAAGACGGCAGGAAGAAAGAAAGGAGATTGAGAAATCATCACGGAAATGGGGGGGAAGACAGGGACGAGATTGTAAATTTTCAGAGAATAGGGGGGTACTTAAAGGGGGAGAAACTGACCCATCAAGCTGATTGTCAGGACAGAAACGTGTGGAAAGGATCCTCCAAGAAAAACCACGGTTGAAAAAGCTCGGAAGAGTTCAAAAAGGGTTTGTTCCTAGACAGAGACAGAACAAAAAAAGAGAGACAGCAGCTGAGGGAGAGGACAAAAAAGCGAAAGGAGCTAGGAAAGGAGACAAGGATGGAACCAGCAGAGGTCAGTCAGAGCAAAAACAGGCAGCAAGAGCAAGCACAACACAACTATCCTCAGAACCCCCCAAACCCTATCACACCATTCCAACACACAATACAATCCATACCCACAGCTTCCCCCCAACCCCCACCATAGAATCCCACAGTATGCTACCAGGTCTCCCCCCCACAGGCCCCCCAAACCACAGTTTTGGAAAAGGAAACTGAAGTTATGGTACACAAACGCTGATGGAATAACAAACAAGTGGGAGGAGTGGCGGGAAAGAGTCAAAGAGGCTCACCAGACATCATAGCAATCACAGAAACCAAGCTTACAGGTATGATAAACAGATGCCATCTTCCCAACAGGATACCAGATCCTGGGGAAAGACAGAAGGAACAGGGGGGGGAAGTGGCATTGCTGATCAAAAAACCGATGGAATTTTGATGAGCTGGAGAGAGGAGACAGCGGAGAAGAAAGTGATTGCATAGCGGGAACGCTTCACTCTGGAGGCCCCAAGGTGATAATTGCAGTGATATATAACCCACCACAGAACAGCAGGAGGGCCAGGCAAGGAGTATGACGAGAGAAATAGAGCGATGGTTGACACACGGGCTGCAGTGGCCAGAAGAGCTCATACATGCAGGGCAAAGCTCCTGATCATGGGCGACTTTAACCACAAGGAGATCAAATGGGAGAACTTGGAGCCACTGAGGGCCAAGATACATGGAGGGCTAAGATGATGGAGGTGGTACTGGAAAAACTTCATGTACCAACACGTAAGGGACACTACAAGAGAGAGAGGAGAGGATGAACCAGCAAGACTGGACTTAGTATTCAACCTTGAGTAGTGCAGATATTGAGGACATCAATATGAAAGACCCCCTTTGGGGGCCCGCGATCTGTGGTTTTGAGCTTCGAATACACAGTAGAGCTACAAGTGGAAGGGGGAAGCAGGAAGGCCAGGCGAATGGGACCAAACTACAGGAAAGGGGACTACACAGGAATGAGGAACTTCCTGAATGAGGTTCAGTGGGACAGGAAAATGGCAGGGAAACCAGTTAATGAGATGATGGAATATGTAGTCACAATGTGCAAGGAGGCTGAGGAAGGTTTGTTACCCCAAAGGGGAACAGGAATAATGAAAAAGCCAGGATGAGCCCATGGTTCACTCAAAGATGCAGGAGGCAAAAACCAAGTGTGCTAGGGGAAAGGAAGAAATATAGAAGGCAAAGGACCAGGAGAATAAGGAGAGCAGTCGTAGAGCCAGAAACGAATATGCAAGATAAGAAGGGAGGCCCAACGTCAATATGAAAACGACATAGCAGCAAAAGCAAATCTGACCCGAAGCTGTTATTCAGCCACATCTGGAAGAAAACATCCGTCAAGGACCAGGTAATCAGGCTAAGGAAGGAAGGAGGAGAGACAACAAGAAATGACAGTGAAGTATGTAAGGAACTCAACAAGAGATTAAAGAAGTGTTCACAGAGGAGACAGAATGGGCTCCAGAAAGACGGAGAGGTGGGGTACACCACCATGTGCTGGACACAGTACACACAACCCAGGAAGAGTGAAGAGGCTTTTTGAGTGAGCTAGATACCTCAAAGGCAATGGGGCCAGATAACATCTCTCCATGGGTCCGAGAGAGGGAGCAGAGGCACTATGTGTACCCCTAACAGCAATATTCAATACATCTATCGAAACAGGGAGATTGCTGAGGCATGGAAGACGGCAAATGTGGTACCAATTTTTTAAAAAGGAGACAGACATGAAGCACTAAACTACAGACCGTGTCACTGACATATATTTGCATGCAAAATATGGAAAAAATTGTCAGGAGAAGAATGGTGGAAAAATCTAGAAAGGAATGATCTCATCACCAGCAGACCAACCCTGGTTTCAGAGACGGGAAATCCTGTGTCACAAACCCACTGGAGTTCTATGACATGGTGACAGCAAATAAGACAAAGAGAGAGGGGGTGGGTGGATTGCATTTTCTTAGACTGCAAGAAGGCGTTTGACACAGTACCACACAAGAGATTAGTGCAAAAACTGGAGGACCAAGCAGGAATAACAGGGAAAAGGGACTGCAATGGATCAGGGAATACTTGTCAGGAAGACAGCAGCGAGTAATGGTACGAGGGCGAGGTGTCAGAGTGGACACCTGTGACCAGCGGGGTCCCCAGGGGTTTAGTCCCAGGACCAGTGCTGTTTCTGGTATTTGTGAACGACATGGCGGAAGGAATAAAAATCCCAGGTGTCCCCTGTTTGCAGATGACGTGAAGTTGATGAGAAGAGTTCATTCGATCGAAGACCAGCGAAATACAAAGGGATCTGGACAGGCTGCAGACCTGGTCCAGCAACTGGCTCCTGGAGTTCAATCCCACAAGTGCAAAGTCATGAGGATTGAGGAAGGGTAAAGAAGACCGCAGATGGAGTACAGTCTAGGGGGTCAGAGATACAAACATCATCAAGGAAAAGATCTTGGGGGGGAGTATAAACCAGGCACATCTCCTGAAGCGCACATCAACCAAATAAACTGCTGCAGCATATGGGCGCCTGGCAAACCTCAGAACAGCATTCCCACATCTTAAAAAGGAATCGTTCAGGACCTGTACACCGTGTACGTTAGGCCCATATTGGAGTATGCGGCACCAGTTTGGAACCCACACCTATCCAAGCATGTAAAGAAACTAGAGAAAGTGCAAAGGTTTGCAAGAAGACTAGTCCCAGAGCTAAGAGGTATGTCCTATGAGGAGAGGTTAAGGGAAATCAACTGACGACACTGGAGGACAGGAGAGATAGGGGGACATGATAACGGCTTACAAAATACTGAGAGGAATTGACAAGGTGGACAAAGACAGGATGTTCCAGAGACTGGACACGTAACAAGGGGACACAGTTGGAAGTTGAAGACACAGATGAATCAAAGGATGTTAGGAAGTATTTTCTTCAGCCACAGAGTAGTCAGAAGTGGAATAGTTTGGGAAGCGATGTAGTGGAGTCAGGATCCATACATAGCTTTAAGCAGAGGTACGATAAAGCTCATGGTTCAGGGAGAGTGACCTAGTAGCGACCAGTGAAGAGGCGGGGCCAGGAGCTTGGACTCGACCCCTGCAACCTCAACTAGGTGAGTACAACTAGGTGAGTACGTACACACACACACACACACACACACACACACACACACACACACACACACACACACACACAACACACACACACACACACACACACACACAAAAACACACACACACACACACACACACACAACGCGCGCGCGCGCGTGCGAACGGCCGTTTCCCGCCTGGGTAGTTTATAAATTAGCATCAGTGTACCTTTGAATATAGTTACTGTCTTAATTGTATCTAGTTGAGCTAGATACTTCAAAGATGCTTGTCCAGCCAAGTAAGTTCCGCTGCTCTGTAGCTCTTCTTCTGAGTGATGTAACTCCAAACGTGTCATGTATTGCTACAGAGTGTTGTTTACTCCACAGAGGTGATGCGTAGTGTTACTGAGTGATAATTCCCGGAGTTGACGCGTTTTCCTTTTTGTTTCAGTGAGAAGTGTGGATGTGTGAAGGAGTGCGACAAGTGTAGACCACCACCAGCCAGGTAATTTGTACTGTTTTTGTTCTTGTCTACTTGGTCAGCTAATACATATTCATTTTTTGTTAAGCAGCAATACAGGTCCAGGTAAAAGATGAGATTCATCAAGCTCTGCACAAGGACATGACCGGAACTTTAACCAGTGTATCCTGGTGTAGATGAAATACTTGACTTGTAACGTAACCTTATTCTATAAAGTTTAGATTTATTCCAGAATTAAATTTTGTCCTGTGTTTATATAATATCAAAGCGGTAATATTTGATGCAGACTGAATAAATTGTAAATATATACGTTGATAATATTCTATAACTCTTTTATGACCTAATTGTTAGGCTTTTTGTGAATAATGAATGTCGAATGTTGCGTGTGAGAGAGTAAGACCACTGTAATGTATGGTGTGTGTGTGTAAGACCACTGTAATGTATAGTGTGTGTGTGTAAGACCACTGTAATGTATGGTGTGTGTGAGAGTGTAAGACCACTGTAATGTATGGTGTGAGTGTAAGACCACTGTAATGTATGGTGTGTGTGAGTGTAAGACCACTGTAATGTATGGTGCGTGTGAGAGTAAGACCACTGTAATGTATGGTGTGAGAGTGTAAGACCACTGTAATGTATTGTGTGTGTGAGTGTAAGACCACTGTAATGTATGGTGTGTGTGAGAGTAAGACCACTGTAATGTATGGTGTGTGTGAGTGTAAGACCACTGTAATGTATGGTGTGTGTGAGAGTGTAAGACCACTGTAATGTATGGTGCGTGTGAGAGAGTAAGACCACTGTAATGTATGGTGTGTGAGAGTGTAAGACCACTGTAATGTATGGTGTGTGTGAGTGTAATACCACTGTAATGTATGGTGTGAGTGTAAGACCACTGTAATGTATGGTGTGTGTGTGTAAGACCACTGTAATGTATGGTGTGTGTGAGTAAGACCACTGTAATGTATGGTGCGTGTGAGAGTAAGACCACTGTAATGTATGGTGTGTGTGAGTGTAAGACCACTGTAATGTATGGTGTGTGTGTGTAAGACCACTGTAATGTATGGTGCGTGTGAGAGTGTAAGACCACTGTAATGTATGGTGTGTGTGAGAGTAAGACCACTGTAATGTATGGTGTATGTGAGAGAGTAAGACCACTGTAATGTATGGTGTGTGAGTGTAAGACCACTGTAATGTATGGTGTGTGAGTGTAAGACCACTGTAATGTATGGTGTGTGTGAGAGAGTAAGACCACTGTAATGTATGGTGTGTGAGTGTAAGACCACTGTAATGTATGGTGCGTGTGAGAGAGTAAGACCACTGTAATGTATGGTGCGTGTGAGAGAGTAAGACCACTGTAATGTATGGTGCGTGAGTGTAAGACCACTGTAATGTATGGTGCGTGTGAGAGTGTAAGACCACTGTAATGTATGGTGTGTGTGAGAGAGTAAGACCACTGTAATGTATGGTGCGTGTGAGAGTAAGACCACTGTAATGTATGGTGCGTGTGAGAGAGTAAGACCGCTGTAATGTATGGTGTGTGAGAGTGTAAGACCACTCTAATGTATGGTGTGTGAGAGAGAGTAAGACCACTGTAATGTATGGTGTGTGTGAGTGTAAGACCACTGTAATGTATGGTGTATGTGAGAGTGTAAGACCACTGTAATGTATGGTGCGTGTGAGAGTGTAAGACCACTGTAATGTATGGTGCGTGTGAGAGTGTAAGACCACTGTAATGTATGGTGTGTGTGAGAGTAAGACCACTGTAATGTATGGTGTGTGAGAGAGAGTAAGACCACTGTAATGTATGGTGTGTGTGAGAGTGTAAGACCACTGTAATGTATGGTGCGTGTGAGAGTGTAAGACCACTGTAATGTATGGTGTATGTGAGAGAGTAAGACCACTGTAATGTATGGTGCGTGTGAGAGTGTAAGACCACTGTAATGTATGGTGCGTGTGAGAGTGTAAGACCACTGTAATGTATGGTGTGTGTGAGAGTAAGACCACTGTAATGTATGGTGTATGTGAGAGAGTAAGACCACTGTAATGTATGGTGTGTGTGAGAGTGTAAGACCACTGTAATGTATGGTGTGTGTGAGAGTGTAAGACCACTGTAATGTATGGTGTGTGTGAGAGTGTAAGACCACTGTAATGTATGGTGTGTGTGAGTGTAAGACCACTGTAATGTATGGTGCGTGTAAGACCACTGTAATGTATGGTGTGTGTGTGAGTGTAAGACCACTGGAATGTATGGTGTGGATATTACGTGTTTAGGGTCATTTTGGATTCTTGTGTATTAATCTGTTCTGTGTATTTATACCACTTTGTATTTGCATTGCTTTAAATAAAATATAAAAAAATAAAGAAGAAGCATATGTCCACGTAATGGACATGTTGTTCACAGCATGGTGACTGCTTCAACACCAAAATATAGATCTGAATAAAAGTATTTTATTCGGTTGTTGTCTTATGCAGA